CCAGGCAACATTGTCACCAGCGCCTTCATAGAGGAACTCCACATCCAGAACACTGCAATAAATACTACACACATACTCCAAGAATTTCAAGACTCTTGCTGTGTACTAACCAAAATAAACTGCAACATGACAGACACTTCTAGATTACACATTGTCCTTCAGGTAACTCCTAGTATCAGGAACACTTTAATTCAACAGCACTATGTTAGTGTGCAATGGGCAATGATAGCTGTAGATGATTACATTCCTCTCAGACACTGCTACAAATGTTGTGGTATGGACAACTAGCTAATAAATGTACAGAAAAACAGCACTGTAGTCACTGCATGGGCAACCACAGCTACAAGGTTTGCCGCATTCAGTCAGGAACTGTGTTGCATTAATTGTATGAAGGCCAATAACACTACCAGAAGGGAGCAAACATAAGACTGTGCATAACGCATTCTCATTCTCTCAACAGTGCCCCATAGCCAAATGCATGAAAACACAAGCTGCCAGTAGGGTCAGCTATGAATAATACACACCTTCACAATACGAACACAGACAACTATAAAATCATACAGATTAATGCACAGAAATGCAAAGCTGCCTGCTCCCTCCTCATTCACACTTCCAATGTACAAGATACAGACATCATCACAATCCAAGAGCCCTACAATATTAACAACATGATAGTCAGGTTCAATGACTGGAAAGTCTATTTAGCTCAAGACCCTGGCTATCGCATCAAGGCTGGTATTATCATCAGGAACAAAAACATTAATGCCTGCCTTGTTTCCCAACATACCACAGAATACATTACCATTGTCTGTGTTAGACAATAACTCACCTTTACATATGTTCCGTCTACATTCCAGACTCCACTAACATTGAGATCATCACTTCTTGAACTCATACAAAGATAAACCTATCCTAATAGAAGGTGACTTCGATGCCAAGTCTGCGACCTGGCATAGTCCAAAAGATGACCCTAGAGGTAACATAGTTAATGAAACCATGGTCCAACACAACCTTACTCACTTGAACACCAGCACCCTTCCAACCTACTCCTGTACCAGGGGGGAAGTTGGATTGACCTAACATTAGGAAACAGTCACATCACCCCTAGGTTTGACCACTGTTACACTACCGACATAGATTCTACCAGTGACCATAGGTATATCTTCACCCAACTGAACACTACTAGGAATATTAATAATAGTTTTCACTATACTCGCACTAACTGGCAATTATTCTGCAACACTTTCAATAACATTTGGACTGGTACCCCTCACCACAATCACTATACTCAGGACACCTTAGACCATCTTGTCATCAGGCTTACAAATACAATCACTAACTCTTATGTTATTGCCTCCGAGGCCAAACATTGTAAACACAAAAAGGTTCCTTGGTGGACCACTGAGCTAGAAAACAAGAAAAAAGTTGTTAGGAGATTAAGGAGGCAATTTAGGAATGAACATGACCCAGACATTAAAGTCACACTTAGAGATCAGTACAGGCACAAACACAATGCTTACAAAAACCTTTATAAATAAAACAAGGATTAACACTTGGAAAATTTGTGTACCAACACTTGCAATTGCAATCCGTGGTCTGAACTATACTACTTAGCTTGTAAGGAAAAACACCAGCTCCAAACTCCCTCCATTATCCAGCTCCCTGATGGTTGCTACACCAACAACACAGAAGAAACTATCACACAACCTCATCAGCCTTTACCCTTCGAATGACCCACAGCAGGATGACAATACACAAACTGTCTCTGGAGTTCTACACTCACTCTGCCTAATACAGACAATGATCACAACTTCACCTACAATCAAGGTTTCAAATGCCATCTGTTTTTGCTCACTGATAACAAAGACCAGGTCTTGACAGCATAATCACTAGGATGATAAAATATGCATTTGAGGCCAATCCTACAGTGTTTGTAATTCTTTTCAATATTTGCTTGAACACTGGCCTTTTTCCTACTCAGTGGGAAAAGGCTACTGTCAAATTGAATCCCAAACCCACCAGCGCTAACACTTACAAAAACACAAGTCAATCTGCCTTCTCCCAACTCTGGGAAAAGTGTTAGACAGTCTAATGATTAATAGGATCACATGACATCTACACAAGCATAGAGCCCTGCATCAGAATCAGTTTGTCTTCTCTAAAAACAAAGGTGCAGTAGATATCATCCATCAGGTTGTTAACTATATCCACCAGGCTAAACAAAACAATCAACATACCACAATTATCACTATTGACTTTAGAGGCACCTTTGATCAGCCTAGTGTCCTTTTATCCTGTACACATTACATGCTCATCACTGCCCTCAAAATCTTTACAAACTTCTTCAGTCCTATTTTAGCAACAAAAGTGCAGGTGTTTATACAACACAAAATAACATAGTCATACCCATCATTTGGGGCTGTCCTCAGGGATCCAGGTCTGGTCCTGGTCTCTGGAACATAGCCTATAACTCTATTCTGCACCGTGCCTCCTGGCTGCCACATACAGGGCTATGTGGAAGACACAATTATCCTAGCTTCACACAGGAACACTGAATGCTTACAGGACATACGCAACGACATTCTCAATAACATTCATCAGTGGAGTATTAAGCATAGGCAACCCATTAACACAGACAAATGCAAAAGCATGATAGTTGGTAGGAACGTACCACTCATCAGGAAGCTTACCCTTCAAATAGGTGCTCACAGAATAAAGCAAACAATGGAAATTAAATATTTAGGTGTTATTCTTGATGAGAGACTTAACTTCACACCCCACATCAAATACATCACGGACAAAGCTAAAAAGACGGCCACACTTTCATTAGTATTGCTAACATTAGAACACATGGGGCCTTGGCCCTAATGCTACTAAGCTTTACAGGGGTGCAATTCAGCCACACTCCTCTATGCCATATAGGTCTGGGGCCATGTGGCTACCAAAGTCCATAACCGTAAAAAACTGTTATCTGTTCAAAGAATTGCAGCTCTCAACATTTGTAAGGTTTATAGGACCGCACCCACTAGTGCCCTTTTGGTAATGTCAGGATTGACCCCTATCGACTTAGAAATTAAATGCATTATTTGGCAGGAAAATCTTGTTACCTTACTTTGGCAAGATTATAGCAACTTCAGATGTTGACAAAATGATTAGAGTAGATAAGATTCCCACCAGTTTGACCATGATCGATGATATAAAAAAATTCAGCATTGACAAAAATCTCTCCCAACTTATGATTACCACCCTCCCATCAGCTTGCCCCTGATGTTTGCTTCAAAGATCCAGGTGATCATCCCATGTTTAGGATTGACGATGTGGGTGCCACTTTTGTAGTTTACTCCAACTTAGGCCACGAGCTTCACAGTGCTTGCTTCTGTCTAGGTACACACTGCTCAATAGCACAGGCAGAAACGCTAGCTATTTATGTGAACTTTATTCACATTAGGCATAGGAAGGACAAAAGACACTACTTACACTATTGCATGTATTCTGATAGCTTTACACAGGATTGTGAAGTCTGATAGCCGCTTAAAACTCATCCATCTCATATACCACATTCTCAGACACTTAGAAAACAACATTAGAAAAGATTTCCAATGGGTCCCAGGTCATGCGGAGTTATCAGTAACAAAACCACTGACAGTCTTGCCAAACAAGCTGCAAAGTCTTCAGTCACTAGTACTTTCAGTTACATTCCTACCTTGTACATCAACAACTATGTCAAGAAGCAAACCTTCATTCTCTGGCAAGACAGCTGGGACCATGACACCACTGGTAGGCTCACCTACACTTTCATCCCCAAGGTTGACACTACTGCGATTCTTTGCCACTTTGACCCTAGTTACACCCTCACTCAGCTACTTATAGGACATGACAACTTTAAGCAATACTTGTATAGATTTAACCTTGGGGACAATAATCCACAATGTGATTGTGGTATTCAGGAGGACCAAACACCACTTCACTTAGTTTTTCGCTGCAACAGGTACAATCACATTAGGGATAGTTTAATGAGAGCTGTTACTCTTAAAGAGTACAACTGGCCTTGCAACCCACACCAACTCATTCACATGCGTACAATGTTCCATCATCTACTCGCATTCATGTCCCTTAGTGGGGCTCTTGAGAGCACTCACTCTGGAGACACAGATGGCAATTAGATTTTCCTTGCTTTGTTTCAACTGTTGGTATATAGCTGCCTTTCAACTTTGTAGTTTAATTCTTATTTTCTGTCTTCTTTTTTGGTCTAAATTTGGTTAGTTCTAGTTGTAAGTTAGATTAGGGACTCTTAGATTGGTTTCTTGTTAGGNTCAATATCGATGTCTCCCGCACTCCGAAAAGTTTCAAATTGTCTGAAAACAAGGGAAGACCAATCGGTATTCATTATTTTATGTTGCTTCTTCTTGTGTTTGTTCTGTGAGGTGTTCATTATCCAATCATGTGTTCATTGTCCGAACATAAAAATCTTGCGAAAGTGTTCGTTATCCGATTTGTTCGTTAACCAAACTGTTCATGAACCAATCACCCACTGTATAGTCTAAAAATAATTAAGTGATTTAGATTTATGATTGGCTACAGAAAAAGTTTTTCTTTTCCATCTTTGGCAAGAAATAATGATTTGAGTTTAATTTCAGCCTAGAGGTATGACAAAATAATACTACTACTCTTATGTATTCTTTTATTCAGCATTCCATTATAAAAAAGTAACAATAAATACATTTTATTATTTGAAAATAATAAAATGTATTTACTGATACTTTTCTTACTATCTACAATGTTTCATTTATCAATCTTTACACTGATTAACTATCATTGTAAATATAATAAAATTTCTGGAATAATTCAGTTATAGCTTCTTACTACCAATTAGATAAATATTCAATGCAAATAATGATAAAATAATTCCATTTTCTTTAATTACAAATTACAAACCACTCTATAAATATGGATGTATACTTACTTAAAAATGTAAAAATTAAGGATATATCATTTATTACCTTTTCTGTATCAAGGACAACATTTTGAAATCTATCTGTTGTTATTTCATGTACACAAACACCTTCAAATCCAGGAGAAGTATCACAGCCCATCTTGTATTTCACAGCACTTCGTAAATGCCGATTGAGCAGGTTTTCAGTATAACTAACAACAAATTCAGCTTTAAAAAATAAAATTATTTAATTTAATAAATTATGTTTCATTTTAAATTTACGTTAAAAGTATCTTATTTGTCCAACAAAAATTTATTAATTCAAAATAATAAAAATTAATTATATAATTAATTTTTTATTACATTGAATTATATACAGAAATAGAAATTTAAATAATATATGTAAAGGTGTGGGTTATAAAAGGAAAAAAAACATCTGGCAACACACAAAGAAGTTTTGAGAAGGTGAAGAAGAAAGGATCACGTGTCAACAACAGAAATCAAAAGGCTGGAAAAGAAACTTTTACAAGTCGACAGGATGAAACAAAAATAGAAAAAAAAAAACAAAACAAAAAAAGGATAACTTACAGAGATGATAAACCGTATTTGAAACAGATTATTAGAAAAGAAGAGGGCATTCCCCAAAAACATGTAAACCAAAAATTCAAATATTTTGGGTCAATAATGATATGCATAAAGTAGAAACTTGGGTGAAGAGATTCGAAATGATGGCCAAATATATGGGTTGGAATGAAAAAGATAAAATAATGTTCATGGGCGATTACCTAGAACAGCACTGTCCAACTGGCGGCCCGCCAAATAATTTTCACGGCCCGCGAGTACATTTTACTATGAATAAATTTATGTTACTAAATTATTATTATTAATAAAATTATTTTACTACCGTGTTTCCCCGAAAATAAGACAGTGTCTTATATTAATTTTTGCTCTGAAAAATGAGCTAGGTCTTATTTTCAGGGAATGTCTTATTTTTCCAGGAAGAAGAATTCACATTTATTATTTAACAAAAAAATTCCCAAGTCTAAGTTAGACGAGAGTGACGTATATCCCGTGTGTCGAACTGTCGCCTTTTTATAGCGTCAACATTGGACTCGCTGACCAATTAGTGCTTACTGAACCGTAGCACTATGCAAATGTCATGTGGTTTATCAACAACCTTTCTTGGCCCCTGAAATGTTTGGTGAAGAAAATATGGCCTGCGGGCTATGATAAGTTGGACAGCGCTGACCTAGAAGATGAAGCCCTAAACTGGTACATTGAGCACTCGGACAATCAAAGTTGGGAAGAATTAAAACAGACTTTTGTGAGGAGATTTGGATTACAAGCCACCAAGCCTATTGTGGATTTCGTAAGGTTAAAATATGACCAAAAATAAGAATAAAAAATTATTAAAAAAAAAAAAAAAAAAGGTCAGGGAAGTTATCACAATTGAAAGACTTCCAAATAATACTGCTAATGATAGAGGGGTTATCCCGAGAAATGGCAAAATATTTCGTAACCGTAAGACCAAAAACTTTTGTAGAATTTTATGAAATAAGCCTGAGAATTGAAGAAAATTTAAAACAAAAATGAATCAATAAGTCACAAGGAGTGATTTTGGTTATGGGATGGAAGAATTTAATTCGGAACACAAAAGAAAGCCAAATGCTTGTAAGATGTGTGAGAGTTTGGGATACCAAAATAGGTTCTATTGGGCTCAAGACTATTGGAATAAGCAAAAATTGCCTGAATGAAAGGAAAAGTAAATCTTGCTGAGGTCAAAAACAATGAAGAATGAAGTGAAAGTAAAAAAGTGGAGACAAAGTGCGAGGAAACAAATCATAAAATAGAAGAGACCAACAAGGAAAGTGTTCAGGAAAATGAATTAAATGAAGTCAAAATCGAGGACACAATACAAAATGGCCAATTCCCTAAAAGTATTAATGAAAGAAATGATAACGATACAAATAAAAATGGTTTTCAATACAAAAAAGGAACAGAAATTAACAATATTGAAGATTTAAATGGGTTGAAAGACAGAAATCGAAAAGTACAAGAAACATTAAGAGAGACATTACCAGATGAATTATCCAATTCAGATCTGAATGTCCTTCAAGATAATTCAACAGATTTTATCTGTTTGACAGACAGCAGCAAATGTTTGAGTAAATAGACCTCTATTCTTCTAACAATGGGTATTTTAATAGGAATCATCGTCGGTCTGGTGACAATTGTAGGAATAACAACAAGATTATCTGTTTACATTTTCCACCGTTGGAATTACAAAAGAAACCACGAGACAAATCTAGAACCTCAAAAGTGCATAGAATAGTTAGTTCTACAACACGAAGACCTGTCAAAAATCAATCTACAAAGTGAAAATTGAATCTACGAGAAGTAATGGAAGAAAATGATTCCCATGTAAACACTTGGATCTAAAAGCAGGGGAATGTAAAGGTGTGGGCTATAAAAAAAAAAATATCTGGCAACATCAGAACAGAAGCTTCGAGATCTGACAACACTGAAACAGAAGTTTCAAGAAGGTGAAGAAGGAAGGACCACGTGTTAAAAAACAGAAATCAAAAGACGGGAAAAGAAACTTTACATATATATTCAGCCATATTCCACTATTCAAATCTAATGTATTCTTGAAAATGATTCAAATAGCAGATTTCCTGATATTCAAATCTGTAAGGATTACATTATTCCCTTATGGAAAAAATTTTAACTTATTCCAAGTCTATCCAAATAACACCATCCAATTTTTCCAAACGATACTAAAACTGTAAAAAACAAACCTATTTACCTATCAATCTATGTTTTTAGCAGGATATTAACTATTATAAACTCCAATTTCCTTACAAGAATGAAGCATTAATGCCAAGCATTTAATTACATATCAAACATTAAATGAAATAAACTATAGCCCAGTTTAATCCGGCAATTGTTTGACTTCAGGTTTAAATGTTTATATTTTTATCACTTCAAAGATTAAATTTAGAGTATTTTCATATCTTTACTAAGTAAAATATTTAACAAAAATGTTCAGGCAATTCTAACAATTTATGTAGAGCAAATAATTAATCTAAAAATAATTTAAATAAATAATGTGTAAAAATGGTAAATGTCAACTCTATCATCAATAAATACATTAAAAAAAATTTATCATATTTCAAACTGGATTCTAAAAAAAATTAAAAACAAGTATTTAATATTAAGAACATATTAATATTAAATAACATGTTAATATTCACTACTTTTTTAAAACTCTGCTCTATGTATACTAAGAGGGACTTTTTCATACTCATCATGGGTACACCAAGCCCACAATGGGGCAACTGGGTGATGAGGAACAGACTGCCCACAAAAAATTCAAGGGTTTTTGACTGTCTAGATTTGACCCAGGTTCCCAAAGCATTGTGCTGATTGATGCCTTAACTGCCTTGACCCCCCCATCATCAATATTTGCTGCTGAGGTCTTCTCTTTATTTTTATAAGTGATTTAGAAAATATATGATTTCATCAATAACCAATGATGTTTCATTATTTTATTTATATATTTAGCTTTGAAATTTCTCT